CTTGTGCCGCTGAGGAGGAGAAACTGGAATTCAGAGGTGGCAAGACTCTGGGGGCTGAGTGGGTTGGGAAGCCCGCAGCGAAGTCACGGGCGCATGCGACGCCACAGATGGAGCCACCGCCATCCAGCGGCGCGAGGCCGCGGTGCGCCGACCATGCAAGACCCGGCCTGCGCTGCCGCGTACCTTTCCGTCACCCTTCGGGTTGATGTAGACGACGTAGTGTCCGCCGTGGTTGGCGCCGCTGTGAACGAGCACGGCGTGGAGCGTGTAGCTCGCTGCCGTCGGCTCTGCCGTCTGCAGGAACTTGTCCAGGTTCAGCTTCTCCGGAAACTCAAACCTGCGGATTGCCAGGACGACGGATGTTACCGGTGCGATACGTGCTTTCACCATCCCGACACGTTTGAAAGAGGTCTAGCATAGATTTGGAAGTGCATGTATATATGCGATATCACGACTCACGCACGCACACACGCAAACACACACCAGTGCACACCACTAAATGCAGCACACAATTACTTAAGATACAGCATTCGGACTTCCTATCGTTGCTCTATCATGAAACTAAATTTCGTCAATGGTGGACTTGTCGAGGGTTTCGATCACATCGTTACACAATACCTGTCGTTGATTTTGATGTTTGTGTCGGTGACCGGGTCATACTGGAACCTCATTAGCTGCAGGTGTAAAACCGGTGGGAACGACTTGAACCAGACGCCTTTCTCCGCATCCTAAATCAACAGACATTTTAGTCTATGACCTCTCACATTTCGGAGACTTGCGCTTTCCTCATTTGAAGTGACATCAGTAATCTAGTGAGCAATGACATCTAATGCCTAATAGTTTTGACACTAGCGATGCTCTCTCACTCCTGTTTAGCCGCTCGTAACGTGTGGATGAGCTAGGCTACACTTCTACAACACATGCAAAATCAACACTTACGCACTAAACACGTACCTGCAATCCGTGTTCCCCGGCATCGTACTTGTTGTCACCCTCAAACACCTCAATGGCCACGTAGTCCTTGAATGACTCGTGAACTGCGAGAGACAAACAATCATACTGCTACATCGACAGACCCTGCCACCGAAGAAAACACTCACGCCATCAGTATACACCACAAAGCACATGAATGCGACATTTCACATCACCAGACTCAAACTTGCACATGCAAGTTAACAACAAGAGACTCGTGTGCCAGATAAGAAAGTCTTGAGCCGATACTCAGAGGTAGAGCCGAGACGCGGATATTAGAGTGGCAGAGACAACAGGACGATGAGACTTACTGTTTCTCTTTCCCTTTACGTTGAGCTGGATATCGTAGAAGGGTTCTACCCGGGATGACATGTACTCGACGTGTTTGCAGTTAACATATGACTGCAAGTACAACAACAACAGTGACAATCAGTGCACATTCATTACTGAAGAAACTCTCGCCTCAAGCAAGGTTTATTGCCTCTTAGAGAGTACATACAGCTGCTTATCTTCGGTATATTAAACTAAATTTGGTTATTATCATTGGTAAAATGTGGAAACAATAGGCATGTGCTCAAATCCCACAACTTTTCCAATTTCAAATATTGTAATGGCCAATTTTCCAGGGCTTTGTAGGACCACAGCACATCCAGGATTTTCCAGGTCTGGAAACGTACGAACCCTTATCTAATGACCATACACAACCTGCCCACCAACAAAGGTCATAGGAAGGTGACTTCCTTTTTTATTGCAGATCTACACATTTTTCACGAAGTTAAAATAGCCGAGAAAAAGTTCGAAACGAGCACACAACAGTGTTGAACCTTTTTTAGTTTTCTTACATTCTTCGAACGGTTAAAATGACCGAAAAAAAGTTAACGGCGAGCACACAAACAGTGCAGAGGTATCGCCTTTCTTTCTGCACGACAGGAATGTACTTCAGCTGCTCCAAGGGTGGAATACGCTAGTATTTGATTCTTGATCATTAATCTAATGCAACTTTTCAGTCAGAACAACATTAAACAATAGTCTAACTGAAGCTAGCCGCTAACAAGGCCTAAACATAACGACTTAATTTGTCTTATTAACACGTTCAACGCTGCCGGTGTCAACAATGCACCTACTGCCCTGTGCTGGGATTTTCGCGTTTTTACCGCGTATTCACTTATTGATTTACCACATTTCCTTTGCAGGAAAGCTAACCAAACTGACACATTGACTCTGCATGAGTGTTAACTCACCCTTACATGTTCGAATGGTATGAAAATCATTCCCCTATCATAATAATATTGATATGCAAACATGGCGAAAACGAACATTTCGTGCATTTTTAGGCGGTATAGCAGCCGTATTTTGGTAAATATATCAAGTTATAAAATTGTGTTATTAGTAGGAAGTGTAATATAGATGTATACATACTGTCAGACAGACAAATACGACATATCACTTTCCAAATCAGCACATATGTCTGCAACTTCTTCATCCTTCAGAGAACGTCGAACCTTCGCGCGAGTTGCCATGATTACAAATAGCGACCTTCAACGGACTTTAGCCCCGAATTTACCTCGTCTCAAAACTCTTAATTTCACGTTCGAATCAACGGTAAAGTATTGTATTCTTTAGTTCATGTAAGACTGGGGTAATATAGACTGTCCCTGTTTAATATCTAGGTAGGTAGTGCCTGCCATCTGTTGGATAGGAGAGTAACAAAAACCAATAATCTATCCACGAGCTGACTCGTGGATCCGCGGGGATGCGTTTTGATTGTTCCCACGAGCTGACTCGTGGATCCTGGAGTGACGGGTTACATAGGTAGAGCTACAGGTATGTGGTGGAGTGACGGGTTACATAGGTAGAGCTACAGGTATGTGGTGGAGTGACGGGTTACGACGTACAGCTAGTGCACAGCGACGCTTATCTGTATCAAGCTATACGTGTGCGTGTCGTGTTTTAGTTTTACCCGCACCTGTTTCAGGGCCTGCACTACCGGATCTGCATTGGCTTTCTTCCCGGTTTTCCTTATGTCTTTGACGAATTCAGTCATGTTGATGAAATTCTGCTTTAAGTCTTCCTCTGACACATCACGATCACGGTTATGATACACACAGTTCCTGATCTCTAACATCTTGAAAGGAAAATTCTGGAAATCAGATATAGCTGCCACAAGACTATATCGCGGACTGAACCATGTGGCGCGCAAAATATGCATACGCTTTTATGTGCGTTGTTATTATTGTTATTATTATCATCATTATCATCATTATCATCACTATCACAAGCATCATCATCACCATCATCCTCATCGTCATCATCGTCGTCGTCGTCGTCGTTATCATCATCCTCCTCATCGTCATCATCGATCATTGCCGTCGTCGTCACCATCATTGTCATTAACATTATTATTTGAATTCGAATTTTATAGAAAATGGCGGTTAGTTTGTTGGCTTCGTGTTTTACAACCCGGTTCGGGCCTTTTCTTTCAAAATAGTTTTAGATCAAGAAAGATGAGAATACCGAGAAAAAGGTGAGCAAACTAACCAGAGGACAGAATCTCTAACATCAACTAGCAGTTGCTAACATTATACCAATCCTGACACAGTGCATGATAGAAGGCGAATACACATACGTTCATAGGGAAATGAATTGTATAGAGAAAGAACTGTGAAGGGAAACGAATTGTAAATGGAAAGAACTGTAAAGAGAAAGAACTGTAAAGCGTAACCTATAGCGGCGGGATATGACTTGCCTTTCTCGTTAACTTGCTATTGACAAGGTCGTCGAACCGTGTGCAGTTCTTGATGAGATTTAAAAGTCCAGACTCGTCCGTCTCGTCTGGGCCGCCCACCTTCCACTGACCAGAGTTCATGAAGAGCTAGACAAGCGAGAAGAAAAATGCCTTGTTATTATGTTCTCAGTTGTGAGTATAGTAAGATCCTTATGTTGTGCAGCAGCAGCATAATGTCAGATTGGAAATTTACATGGTTGTGATAATATTAGTATTCTATCTACGGTATATACATTATTATTATATAGCTGACGTGCAGGGCTGTTTGTATCATCAGGGCCGTAGTCTCTGGGGGGCAAGGGGGCAGCTGCCCCCTCCCTAGATTTTGGAGCAAAATTAAAAAATAAGTTAATAATCGTAAATAAGGAAATTTTTGGTCATTTATCCGTGAAAGCCTCGTTTCTGACCCACCCCTACCACACTATGGACGTCGATCAAGAGCTGCGCCCGTCGCTCATCGTTACACAGTCGAGTCATTAAATTTTGCCCCCCGCCGAGGAATTTGCTCAGCCTACGGCCCTGATCATGGACTATAATTGAGGATGACGGTGAGAAACTAAACCAGAGTCCTACCCGTTGGTTTTTTGTCGCGCTGGCTCTCCACAAACCGGTCCTCGAAGATTTTGACACTTTGACGAAGTTGTTCGACTACCTTCTCTAAGTTCGCGATGTCGTCTTTGCTCGACGCCCATTCGTCTTTGCTCGACCCCAATTCGTCTTTCATGCAGGTGACAATATCGTTCAGCCATTGTATTTCCTATATATAGACGTCGTACATCGTGCGAAGAAAAGAGAGAAACGCCAACTGAGAGAGAAAACATTGACGAACGCGGGCGTATATATATAGGATGGGTGTGCTGTCGTACGGTGCATTTCTAAAGCAATGTACTCGAATATGTTTGAACGTATAAGTGAATGTGATCCTCATTGAATGTAATCGATTAAATTATTTGGCAATGAGTTTACCAAGCTTTGGTCTCGCTAATGGGTGAGATATAGGGGCGGTGTGAGGGTATTTGAAGCGGCGTGGAAGATGCTGTAAGAAATAAGGACAAGGGGATGGATCCTTCTTACTTTGTCCATGTCCTGGCCCGCTTCCAGTTCCTCCAAGCGGCGGCCATGTTCCTTCGCCATCTTGAATAGAATGTGGTAATCCTTGGCGTGCAGTACTGTGAAGTCCTGTTCGTTTTTCAGCTGAATACAAATACATCGCAGTTTTATAGTTATGCCATCTGTATCATGTGTGTGTGTGTGCGTGCGTGCGTGCGTGCATGCGCGCGTGCGTGTGTGCGCGTACCTGCGTGTGTGTGTGTATGGCTCTACCTATGTAACCGTTCACTCCACCCACAGACCTGTAGCTCTACCTATGTAGGCTTTCACTCCACCACAGACCTGTAGCTCTACCTATGTAACCCTTCACTCTACCACAGACCTGTAGCTCTACCTATGTAGGCCTTCACTCCACCACAGACCTGTAGCTCTACCTATGTAACCCTTCACTCTACCACAGACCTGTAGCTCTACCTATGTAACCTCCACTCCACACCACAGACCTGTAGCTCTACCTATGTATGCCTTCACTCCACCACAGACCTGTAGCTCTACTTGCATGTAACCCTCAGCCAATGATAGGGTTACATAGGTAGAGCTACAAGTCTGTGGTGGAGGAAGGTTACATAGGTACGAGCTACAGGTTCTGGTGTGGAGTGAAGGTTATACATAGGTAGAGCTACAGGTAAGGTCCTTCTGCTCCGTACAGGCCGGTGCACAGCGGACGCTGATCTGTATCCTATACGTGTGCGTGTCGTGTTTTAGTTTTACCCGCACCGTGTTTCAGGCCATGCACTAACCGGATCTGCATAGCCTTCTTTCCCTGTTTCAGACAAATGTCCGTGAGCGAATTCAGTCATGTCATTGAAATTCTGCTTTTAAGGTCCTCGCTGCCATCTAAGATTCCGGTTATGACTACAGACAGTTCCTGATCGTAAAATCTTGAATAGAAAAATTCGGGAAATCAATCATAGCTGCAATGACAATATTGCGGACTGAACCATGTGGCGCGCAAAATATGCATGTCGTTTTTTGTATGTTGTTGTTATGTCTATTATGATCATCATTATCATCATATCACAAGCATCATCATCATCATCATCCTCATCGTCATCATCATCTCTATCATCGTCGATCATCGTCGTCGTCGTCGTCGTTATCATCATCTCCTTCATGCGTCAATCATCGATCATTGCCGTCGCGTCACCAATCATTGTCATTAACATGTATTATTTGAATTCGGTTACAAAATGGCGGGTCAGTTTGTTTGGCTTCGTGTTTACCAATTGCGGTTCGCCTTTTTCATTTCTTTCAAATAGTTTTAGACAAGAAATAGAGGATAGCCGAGAAAAATATGAGGCAAACTAATACGGGGCGGGCCAAGTAAGGACATGGCTCAATTTGTCAACCAAAAATCCATTTTGTATCTGATAACATTGACGAATAAATGAGTTTTGTGGACAAACTCAATTTTGTTCTCACAAACTCAATTTGGTCTACAAAAACTCAATGTTTGTGCCACAAACGTCATTCTTCTACAAAGTCAATTTTGTGGATCAAAACTCAACTTTGTGGCACAAAAATGTCATTTCTGGTCTTCACAAAATTCCCATTTTGGTGACAAAACCATCAATTTGTGAACACAAACACTCAATATGAACACAAAACTCATATTTGTTGTACCAACAAAACTCAATTCTGTCATCCTGTCCACAAAATCTCATTTGTGAACACAAACTCAAGTCTGGTCAATGACGTCCCACAAACTCAAATTTGTTGAACACAAAAATTTTATTCTGTCCAATGCCTGTCCCACAAAACTCAATGTTGGTGAATGACAAAACTCAATTCCTGTCAATCCTGTCCCACAATAACTCAATTTGTGAACAGAAAACCTCAATTCTATCATATTCCTGGTCCACAAAACGTCAAATTTCGTGTAACAACAGAAACTCATTCTGCAATCCTGTCCACACACTGGCTCAATTGTTGAACATACAAACTTGCATTGTGTCTGTCCAATCCTGTCCCACAAAACTCAATTTCGTGAACGACAAAACTCAATTCTGTCATCCTGTCCCACAAGAACTCAAAAGGAGAATTTTGTATATTCAGATTTTTACATCATTGTATTTGTGGCAACAGAATTGATTTTAGTGTATAAACAAATTTTGTCTGGTTTTGTACACATAATTAACAATGTCGCTGCATGGCGCTCGTACTAACCAGAGAGACAGAATCTCTAACATTCAACTAGCAGTTGCTAACTTATCCAATCCGTACACAGTGCATGATAGAAGGCGACAATACCATACTTTCATACGGAAAGAATCTTGTGAAGGGAAACGATTTACAATGAGAACTGTAAAGCGAACCTATAGCGCGGATATACTTGCCTTCCCAGTTAACTGCTATTGACAAATTTTTTGTCAAACGTGTGCAGTTCTTGATGAGATTTAAAATGTCCAGAGGCCATGCCGTCTCACTCTGCCGCCCACCTTCTCCGCTGACGCTAGAGTTCATGAAGAGCTAGGCAAGCGAGAAGAAAAATGCCATGTTATATGTTCTCAGTTGTGAAGTAGTAGTAAGATCGTTATGTTTTGGCAGCCGCAGCAAGCAACAACAGCAACAAAAATAACGATTAAAACACATAATATTAATTAAAATACAGAATAATAAGAAGAACAGACAGAACACGAAATAACCGAACACAACAACAAGCAAAACAATCAAACAAACTAACAGTACAAAAAAAACAACAACAACAATCAACAAGCAATTAACAAAACAAACCACACACAACAACGAACGAACAGCAACAACTAACAACAACACAACAACGAACAACAACAACAACAACAACAACGAACAACAACAACAACAACAACAACAACAACAACAACAACGATACCTTCGCTATCTGCCACGGGTCGCTCTGCCATCGCTGGCAGTCGGAGTTCTTCCAGTAGATGTCTCTAGGTTTGATATGCATCTCCTTGACGTGGTCCCCCCATCTGCGACACACTTTGCACTTAGTCTGGTGCCGCTCATCAGCCTTGTTGTTGTCGACGAACGGACAAGGCTCGGGTGTTAGTTCTTTTAGCAGCTCGGCGTGCCAGAGTTCCATCTCAGCTGCATGACGGAAGCGTCACCTTAATTCATGCGGCTTATCTAACGCGGCTGGGGCGTAGCTCCATCTCACTCATATAATATTCGTAAATATTACGAAGGAACTATAACGAGGACGGAAAGAGACAAAGTTGATCAAATAGACAGATCAACACTGCGGATCGCAGTAGAAAAAGCTTCAGGTTTGCAACTATCTAAAGAATAAGGGAGAGAATTCCAATACGGATTGGCAGAGATAAAGAATCTAAGCTAGTCAGATCAGGGCCGTACTGAGCAAATCCCTAGGGGTGGGGAGGCAAAATTTCATGACTCAACTATGTACTGATGACCGACGGGCGCAGCTCTTGATCGACGTCCATATATAGTATAGTAGGGGTGGGTCAGAGACAAAGCTTTCACGGATAAGTGACCGAAAAAATCACGTTAGGGTTATTTACGATTATTAGCTAAGCTTACTTTTTAATTTTGCTCCAAAATCCAGAGGGGGTAGCTGCCCTCCTTTCCCCTCGGCCCAACTCTACAGTCCCCTTAGCGGAGAGCTGACTAATCGCTAGCGATTTTAAGGTACAGTTCGCGGTCCTTCTCAATGACTTCCTTCGTATTTAATCATTTTGTTCAGTTTATATAGTGGGGTTGCGTCCGCATGGAAAAAAAACACAGCTCATACAGCAGTATACCACGCGATACATAAGTAGGGCGCTACGGACAAAAACTGATTTTCCGTATGCCGAAATTCCGTAACCAAAATCTGTTTTTTTTTAAATTGACATTCATTGAATGATGGTAGATGCGTTCCTACGAAAGGATTTTCGGCCGCAGCATCCCCCGATCTTTCCCGATGTAAGCACAAGTATGATTGCAAGTAAAATTATATTGACTGTTGCACGATATGATGCAGAAAAGCGTTGTACTTTGGAATACACTGGCACAGTTACGCGCCAGTAAACACTGTGATAGATAAATATGAATTATCTAATGATATAACAAATATATAGGCGAGTTCTTTTACTAAAAAACACCCGTTTTTATGCTCCTCTAAAGTTTACATAAGAGCGAAATTTCGTTTCGTATCGCGAGTGAAGTGGTCACAATTTACGCGTTAATTACGTACTTAGCCGAGACTATTGTATAGAGCAGGGGGGGTGATCTTTGCGGCCCCGGGGGAGGGGGCACTCCATATATATTGCATGGTAGGTATGTGCCGCGATTACCGTTCTTTAGTCCGGGTTGGTCCTTACGGGTCGTTGGTCCTACGGGTCGTTGGTCCTACTGGTCATTGGTCCTACGATGCACTGCGACACAGCTCCTGAACATCATGCTGCATGAACGAATCCAACGTCTCCCACCTGCAAGGAACGCAAAAACGCCCACGATTACCGCCCTGCGAGTGCGAGTCTCTACGAGACTGTGCTAACAAAGCTGCTACAGTGAACGCCCACCAAAGCTGCTCCCACGCACGCCCACCAACGCCACGCGCAACCCGTCACATTGCCCGTTTCGTTCTCGTTCCCGCGCCGCCGAGACTAACGCATCGATCGAGGCGAGCCGCGTACCCAAACGACTTTGTCAGCTTCTTCGTTCCGACGGGCTTGTCGCTGAACTCTAGCTCGTAGAAGACCTGCTGCAGCGCGAAGGCGACGCTCTTCATCGTGTCGTCATTCTCCGTCGGCATCAGGTACACGGCCTGCAAGATGCACTCACAGTTACACTACTCGCCGCTGCTACACACACGCTCACCGATCTCCTTTGAAGAAAAAAAGTTGAACAATCTTTTCCCCTCCGCCTTTCACGAGTTCAAAGGTCAACCGAGACAATTAGTATTCGCATGTCAGTGAGAAGACGATGTTATCTGCCTCCGATGAAAGTGATCAAATGGTCACTGATGACGACTTCTTTCTCAAACGGGAAATCCATACAAAATTACGGAAACTCGAATTACGCAGACGTTTGAAGGCAGGATATATTTTCAAACGCACAGCCGCAAAGGCAGTAAACATAAGATTCACTGCGTCGCGCATAAGGGATGGCCACCTCTCTGAGTTTGTTTGTGAAGAAAAGCGTCTGCAGTAGGGAGTTCATGTAGCAGGTGGCACCCTGGTTCTTCAGCCCCACGTAACCGGTGTGCTTCTTGGAGTCCCAGCTACAAGGGCAAAGCTCAGGGTTACACAAAACCTCGCGCAGCAATGGACGTGAACACAATCCAAGATCAAGTCTGAGATCACAAGTGTCACCAAAATCTTACAGAATACGCAGAACAATTTTTTTTAAATTTTGCAATTTCATTACGAATACTGCTGAAAAATTATGCAAATAGAAAGTATAATGAAATAAATGAATCTACCTACAGCAAAAGTTAATAAGTACATAAAGTGTGAAAAAACAAGTGCAAAAACATCCTCCATAACATAAATAGTTACCACAACACAAGTATAAAACGTCACGACTTTTAAAGTGTCATAAAAAAGTCATGACACTTTAGATTTATGATGGTTACAATTGTTTATGAATTTCCCCGACGACGGTCACCAGGTTACACCATTTTTTAAGGAAAATTTTGCAGACGATATTTGAAGGTCATGTGGGTGAGGCCGTCCATTGTCGAGAGGTCTTACCTTACGCCATGCGGTGCATCAGCCGACACAGACACCTCCAACGTGATCGTGTCATCTTTCACGTAACCTTTATCCGTGTCCAACACATCCTGCGTAAGCCACAACTCACTTAACATCTCGCCCAACTCTCCAACCGTCTCACTCGCGTACAAGTAATTACTGTGTAGATATTGCCGCTCTCGCTAATTTAATTCGATCACAGTGCGCTAGGTGCATCATTGATCACAGTGCGGCATGTTGTTTTTGCTGCGTAGAGTAATAGAGTTGCCCTATACTTGTAACAAATAACTTTAGTTACTTACACTCCATGGAACAAAATGGCTGAAGCCCCAGTCGTTCTCTTTACTATAGAAGAGATGTTGAATTTCTGAAGAAAACACAATGCATTCAAGGTAGTAACGGCCTAATGTCTACTATCATAATAGGCATCACACATAGGAGCTATGTGTCAACTATTTGCATGCATTTGCACACATATGTCAAACTCGTTATTAGAATTACGATCATTGGCAAGGCATTCTCAGCTCAAGTACCAATTCAACTAATAGCCATGTAGATGGCAAACCTCACAAATAAAACTCACTGCCAAAAAAACGATATCAAAGAATTAGGCAAACTCACTTCTTTGGAACGTTTTCTCTGTGTCTGCATTGTTTATCAACCGCAGCTCTGCAGACGCGTTGCACGACCAAGACCTGAAGCAAAAACATGCACAGAGGCACTGTACACCACCGAAGTACACTGTATAGTGTATGCAGTATTTATTGCATTGCAACAAGGATGCACGGCTCAGAACGCTTGCGTTGCTAACTGGGACAAAGAATGGCATTTCCTCTGCTCTAACATGTCTAACATATGTACCGATTATTCCCTCCTGCATCATACTGAGTTACGCATTCATTTATCCAATATCTAGTAATCTATTACGTTCCCTTGGAAACACACGCTGTGTCACAAATTTAGCAGCAATTCGTCAGGTGAAGCGAGGTTGAAAGCGTATTCTACGAAGCAGACACACAAAAGCACTGCCCAACGACAAAACTCACGTCGACTCAGACTCCGCGTTGCACTGCAAGAAAAATCCCAGGCTCTTCGTAACCTGCCGCTCCTGGTTCTGCGACGTTCTCAGCATGCACATAATCTTCCTGCCAAAGACAAGAAACGGTTTGGAGGTTTTTCGTTGGTGCGAATTCCGCCCACGCAATCAGCGGCGCAAGTTTGACATGCTTCTGACGCGGACTCGAGAGCAATCGCGCAGCGAGTTACGACACGCACCAGCGGAAAATAGAGATGCGCATCGCGCCAGAGCCGGCAAGCCGTACACATTGCACAAATGTCCCATAGATCCACCGAGGAAGATGAATTGATATCAATTCGTGCAAACATCATCACGGTTTCGTCACGTGCACGCTGGTGCTCAAATTTTTAAATTAGGCGTGCCACCATCAAGATTTGTGCGTACACCATGATAGCAAAAGAGCATTTCATCACTATGTTTACCCACTCACCTACCGATAATACATCGTTTAGGTATTATTACTACACTGCTACAATTTGTAAGGACCACCAGTGATGTACCCACGTAGTAGCATCAATTGGTCGAACAGCCATGTTATCGGGCCCACCCGCGCACGCAGTAATTTTGAACAGTCTTCCTATCCTTTCACGGCGGAACACAGCTTTTGGCCGCCACGCCTCTGCTGCAGCATCCCCCCATGAACGCAATAGCGGTGCAGCATTTACTGAAGCCCACCTTCCTTCCCAACATCCGTGAAGCCCTACCACAGACACACACGTCAAATCGGGGGGGGGGGGCATCAACAACTCACCAGGGCAGGTTTCTGACGAACGTCGGCGGGCTGAGCACGGTGTCATTGTCCTTGAGTCGACTGATGCTCTGCACGGTGAAGCTAAATGTGGCTTCCGATCGCGCCTCATCTGCAACGATCATCACACGCGCTCTCAATCCCTACCCACCGCCCGCTGGAAAACTATCGTGACGACGACGCGGTCCCATCGAGAATCAAACGATGGCATTTCCCGGTCGTACGCGAAAGTTGCCAGTTCAGTACGCC